TGACCGACTTAAAAACTGACAGTATAAACATATATTTTCTATTGAACAAGGTAAAGGCACTAAATCATAAAAACTACAAAACAGAAAAAATGTTTTCCATTGTGTTTTCAAATTTTTTCTAGTACCAACTGCATAAGCACTAGTTATTGAACATCTTGCTTCTCTTTTCAACCTGACTAAATCACCACTCATGTTGAAACCTAAAAAGAAAATCGTTTATTTCAATTTCCTGAAAAAACTGTTTGTCGACAAGATTAAAAAATTCCGACTGATAAAAGGGAGATAAATCCCACCTAGATAACAAATCTGAAACTCTGTTATCCTTTCCATTCAAGTGAATCGCTTTAATTTCACACTCATTTATAGCACAAACAAAGGCAATTTCTCTTAAACAAGCTTGTAAAAACCTACTCCTCGAACGACCATGGTTTATGACTTGCACAGAAACGGCATTATCGCAATAAATGCAAATTTTCTTTCCCCTTCGAACCCACACTTTTAAACAAACAATCACAGTCAACAGTTCCAAAGAATTAATATGCAAATGTTGTTCTGTTATAAAACTCGGAAAGGCACAGTGAAAATACTGTGAAGATGAAATTCCACCGCAACCGGACAAACATGCGTCACATGAGAAAAACTGATCTGGTTCTGTCCATTCTTCCAGACTTAAAATGGAAATACCATTAAAAATCAGCAAGAATTCTGACCACCAGAAAATGTCCCTTTTGAACTCCTCTGATAATTCTAAACACTGATCATCAGAAACAAATTCTCTGAAAAAATTTAAAATTCTAGAAATGAATATTCTACCCGGTTTAACACAACTTGCTATGAAATTTAACTTTCCAATCAACGATTGCACCTCTTTTCTGAACACCTTACTTTTTAACAACCAAGCATTAACCAAAGCCAAAATTTCAGTAAACCTAGCAGGAGTAACTTCTAACGTCATTTTCTCCGTATCGAACCAGACGCCAAGAAAAGACATCCTGGAACATGGGGGGTGGGGGGGGGGGGGAAGCTTTTTCAAGCGATTCCTCTAAACCACAATTGTCTAGCACCTGTTTTAAAATCTGAAATGAATTACCAGCTGTGTCTGGAGAGTCAGCGCCCGCAAAATCGTCCAAATAATTAACGACTTCAACACCAAACTTTTTAACAATATAAGACACTGCATTTGTGATTCTTTGACAAATATATGCCGACGATTTCAAACCCATGGGCAGTACTCTGTCCACAAAAATATGATTGCGCCTAGAAAAACCTACTAAATTGTAATCCTTGGGATCTAGTGGAAACTGTCTGTAAGCCCGGCGCAAATCGCGCTTAAAAATATGACACTGCGGACCTTTCTTCTTGATAATTTCTACAAGTTTATCCACGTTTGGATAATGTAAATCAACCTTATTCCCCAAATACTCATTTTTGTCAATGCAATCATTAACAGAATTGCCTTTGGGAAAACTAAGATCCATTATAACCCTTCTTTCCTCCGAATCAGCTTTTGGGACCGAGTTCAATGGAGATAAAATAAGACCATCTCTGAAGGGATTACTTTTGAAAGGACCAAGAATAGCACCATATGAAGCTTCCTTCTTTATATATTTATCAATATCTTTAGAAAATTGTCGTGCACCAGCATGATTACGTACTTTCTTACAAGAGGGATGAATTTTATCAGCAAAATTAATACCTACTGGCCAACCAAACTCCAAAAATTCACAAATTGTCAAAATAACAAACTAATTGCTGTCTCCAAAATGAAACATTTAACCCAGAGTATATAGGGATTCTCAAATTTTCATAATTATAACCACTATAAGTAAGTAAATTATTATGCAAATGTATCAAGTTTTCGACACTGCATTTATTGGATTCTAGTGAATCAAAACATAAGTTACAATGATCTGTTTCAAACAAGGGAATACTACTTTGATCACAAGGTAGTCATTTTTCTTTATTGGGACATTTGTCCGAACATTCCGGATGAGATTGTTGAGTCCCATCTTTCTGCAAACAAGAAGCACAAATGTGATGAACGGTACTGACAATTCCACGAATAGTGGCAGAATGAGGTGAAGTTTTTTCCTCACATTTACTTCTTTGATATTTGTAACAAAACCAAGTAGATGATTTAGATGCTTGATTTTTTAAAGAAGTTTTAGTACTAGACCTAAATTCTAGCGGTAAAATATTACCGGTTAAAACAGCAGACTCTAATACCTGTGGATCATCATTCCACGTTTTCTTTCCAATTTCAATCTGTCGTAACCATGCAGCATAAAAATCAAGAATAGCTGACCATTGATAAACAGATGAAAAATAAGAAACTTTTTGTAAAAGTCGTAATCTACCTTCCTTTTCGGATTTGTTTTTGCAAAAGTTGGAAATAATTTCTAATTCCCCTGCAACAAACTGTTTAAAATTTAGCTGTTTAAATTTTAGATCTTTATTAACGTATTCAAATTGTAGATAATTATGAGGGAAAGACTGAGGGTTTTTAACTTTATCCGTAGACTTACTGCCGAGGCCTGATTTTTTCTTCTTTGCACTTTTCTTAACTTTTCTTTTCTTAAATGAATCATCACTACTAGTATTAGAACTAGAATCTGAATCAGAATCCGAATCGCTACTAGATGAATCAGAATCAGACACAGGCGTGACAATCTTTTTCTTCCTATCCACTGACTTTTGACAAGATTTTCCCTTCTGGCTGCTATTCGAATGAGCTTTATCAGAGTCAGGAAAACCTTGCCTACTTAATTTATTAAATTTACCTAATGAAATAGACTTTGAAGCAGAAATTCCATTTTCATCACTCTCTCCAGAATCAAGACCTAAAAATTTGAGCTGCTTATCTACTTTTTTGTTTAACTTTTTAGATTTTCTTAGATCTTTTATAGTGACATTGTCTTTTTCAAGATTGAGCTTAGTAACCTCACCTGACTTCTTTTTTTGCTTCTTCTTTTCGCTCGTGTCTTTGGTTTTGGAATTACCCGACATCTCGGCTCCTTCTTCCTCTAGTTGTCTTATCCGGTTTTTCAATTGCTGCTTTTTTAGGTCATCCCTCTTCTTCTCCAAGAGTTGTACCCTCAGCTCCAAATCATCATCCTCACATTTATCTACTTTCTCCTCTTTGTTGTTACGGTTTTCCAGGTTTTTTGAACCCGAGGCCTCTCCCTCATTTTCCGAAGACTGCTCTGGACCAACAACACTTGACACAAACTCTTCACCAAATTCTTCTTGCTCCTCTGGAGTCAGTGACAAGTCTAGTAAGTCTTCGTCCATGTTTTGCTGAAATGAAAACTGAACAACAGGATCCGTTGTACCAAAACAGTGGAGATTTTTATAATCCCGTCGCGGGACCGATCTTTTAGGTCTACCGTTCATATTAAACGAAGCATAAAACACACACAAAAATGTATACTAAAGTAAGGTAACATTATAAAACTATCACAGTTATATCGCTAGACAAAGTAATATCTATCTAAATTTTAAAAAAAATATTTTGTAGATCGACGCTTCAACAAAGTACTCTAACTCGAATTCAAATGTATATATGCAGAAACTAAATATTCTCTAATAGTAATAGTGTTGATCGACGCTTCAACAAATACAATAAATAGATAAAAAATAACTAATGTTCTCAAAACTGTCAAACTGAATTGTTGATCGACGCTTCAACTCAAATTTCAAAAATAATATATAAAAAGAACTGAGTGTTTACCGTGTGAAAACAAATCTTGGAGTGTAATTTAACAGGTAAACGAAAGTGAGTAGAATTCAACTAATAATCCAATAAGAAAAGTTATGACAAAATCAGGATGACGAAAAGAATGTAGCATTTAAATAAATAAATTCGTTAGGAACAGAAAAATAATAAAATTCTAGCAAAAATATCAATTTCTTTCTCAGTAATTAATCATTTTTAATAAAATAAAAATTTCCACAAAATCGTACGGTGATCTATAGCTGCTCAAATCCACTCTGAAGTAACTGTATTATAACAAAGTCAATGTAGGACTTTCTTTGACATATTATTGTGTCTGGGAGACACAAATAATGCCCCCGCAGATGCAAAATGTTATTTTTAAATACACAAAGTTGAGCATGGGAGCACATAGGTCTATGGTTCACTGTAGGAGGAGTTACCCGAAACGCTATGCACCTCTTATGCAAGTATATACTCCAAAAATGACAAAGTTCAACTATCTCCCAAAAGAGCAAATATTAATAAAATCATAACCCTGACCACATGCACACCTTCAATATATGTACAAACAGCTAGCAAAGTGAAAACTTCCTATCATTCAAACTGTAGGCGGAGTTATCCGGAAACGCTATGCATAATGGGACGGACAGGGGTAAAACAATATGCTTTCAGTTGCGGGAGCATAAAAACATATACGTTCATAAATTCATGCAAAAACAAACACAAATTTGTACTGCCAATGTATAGACTTTTGTACAGTTGCACCGTTAACATATCTGAAAATAGTTTAACATATGATACCGATTTCAACGTACACGTGTGTCTAGGACTAATTTCATCAAGTATAGATTCGACACAAATGTTTTGGAATTCATTTATATAAAGCGTTTTGGAGAATCAACCCTGAAGGGATAAAAGAGTTGGCAGATTTTTGCAGTTCTGTTTTTATATGTTTTTTGTAGTTTTTTTCTTATTTGTTTTTGTCAGTTCAGTTCTTATATGTTTTTGTAGTTCTGTTCTTATTTGTGTTTTTTTTAGTTCTGTTCTTATTTTTTTGTTTTTTTTGTTTGTTCTTATTTGGTTTTTGTAGTTTTGTTCTAATTATGACTTTTGTATTTCTCTCCTTATATATTTTTGTAGTTCTGTTCTTATTTTTTTTTTATAGTTTTGTTCTTATATGACTTTTGTAGTTCTCTTCTTATATATTTTTGTAGTTCTGTTATTATTTGGTTTTTGTAGTTCTATTCTTAATTAGTTTGTTACATTGGAAAGGTAAGTAAACCCATTAACTTAAATATTTATTACACAAAATTAGAAATTAAGCACAAATATGCATTAATGGAGTGCACCGTTCACTTAGATCATTAGAAAACTAGAAAGTTACTGAGATATTCTACATTTTTACAATTATAGGTAACACTCCTAAACGATAACAGCGTTCCATTTGCCATTCTGAAATTGTCGGTCTATCTGCATTGTGATATATAGCTAGCAAAAAGAAAGGTAATGAAATGGTCACTGTAAGCACGTGTAGCGAAGTCTAAGAACACAACTGTAATCTTAGTTTCATTCAATCGGAGGCAGAACTGATCTCTTACTAAATGAACCATAGCTAGACATTAGGCGGCTCTTGCTCCTGTTGGTGCTTTGTTGGCTGTCACAGCTATCACCCTGTGAATCTGTATCTTGATATGACTTATTAAGACTTATTCCAGAATCTTGGTCGTTCTTTTCATCGTCACTCGACTGTGCACTTCCTTCTTTAATATTATCAAAATCAAATGTTCTGCCCATTACAGATTTTTCTCGGATGAACAGCATATTCTCCTTATACCTTTGGTGCGCATTTTCAACGCGTTCTAATTTCTTTTCTATCTTCATTTTCTTCTCGTCTTCGCTTTGTTTTAATCTTGCCAAGACTTCCGCCCTTCGATTGTCATAACTTTTTGCTATATCTGGAATCATTGCAGATTTATCAGGAACCGCTTTGTTTATTTTTTGTTCGTATTTTAGTTTAGTTTCCTCTTGTTTCTTTTGAATCCGTTCCAACACTCCCGCTCTTTTCTCGTCGTATATTTTTGTAACAAGGGTAGAAAAGTTTGGCTTTTCCCTATTCATTGCTTTATCTAATTTCGCTTTCTTCTCCTTTTCCTTTTTCTGAATTCTTTCTAGCACTTCTGAACGTTTTGTTTCATATCTTTTCACAGTTTCCGATACCAGATCTGGTTTTGTTGTTGAAAGCGACCGTCTTAATTTCTCTTGAGCGCGAGCTTTCTTTTCTGCTTCTATTTCGTCTCGCTTCGCCAGATTTTGTTGACGTTTCTCATCAAATTGTTTAGATTGCTCAACTTGAATGATAAAAATTAAATGACAATGTAAGCATGACTATTGAGGTACCAATCTCTATGAGAAAAGAAAAGCAAGTGACGACATGTATGATGTTTTATATACTTTGCTCATGTATCAAATTGTTTCTTGTACTGTTCAAAAGTGTAATACTGTTTTTGGCCTTTTTAACATTTTTTTATTCGAGCGTCACTGATGAGTCTTTTATAGACGAAACGCGCGTCTGGCGTAAATATAAAATTTCAATCCTGGTATCTATGATGAGTTTATTTTAAGAATTGCCACTTAAATCTATAAATCTTTAGCTTTAGGATGGTTCCTGGCAATGAAGGTAACGTCTGTTTTGAGTGTATATTTTCTGTATAAACAGTTGAATTATTTGATTAATAGTTAAAAGCTATAAATTTAAGAAACAACTGCTTTGCTCGATTGTAACATTGATATTTCTGTTTGTGCCTATAATAACAACACAATTATACCTGCCTATAATAACAACACAATTATACCTGCCTATAATAACAACACAATTTTACCTGCCTATAATAACAACACAATTATTCCTGCCTATAATAACAACACAATTATACCTGCCTATAATAACAACACAATTATAACTGCCTATAATAACAACACAATTATACCTGCCTATAATAACAACACAATTTTACCTGCCTATAATAACAACACAATTATACCTGCCTATAATAACAACACAATTATACCTTTAGATTCCAAATCTTTCTGTCGAGTGATTTCCGCTATAAGACGCCTTTCATCTCTGTCAAACTTAACTGTAGCTGATGAGGAAACAGAAAACACATTATACTGTACAATTATCAATCAATTAAATACCATTAACAAGTTTGTGCAATGCTTTCATCAAAGTAGAGGCATGCATTATAGCAAAAGCACACTGACATTGAATGATGTTAAGTAGATTTAAAAAAAAATATGCTGAAATGTACATATAAACATCTTACACAAATAGATTAAAAATACTCCAACGGTGCAATAAAAAAACATAAGTTGATGAAAACAGACAATACCGTGGCCAATAGAAAAAATGGAACCGACAAACATGTATCTATAAAACACCACACAGACAGATTTAGCAACACGAACCCAACAAAGAAACGCGGTGGACTCAGTTGTTCTTGGGTGGTAATGAAACAGTTCAAATTATAAACTATATCGAGCAAAGAGGTCAAAATTTGCCCGACAATCTCTTGAAATACAGCAAACATCTAGACAATCATAGATCACGTCAAGATATTTGTTGGTTACCAGTTTGCTGGAAACGATGATGACTATTTTTTTACGTAAAGAGCAAACTATATGGAATATATCAATGTTATGTCCAGTAAATATTGTTTTTTTAAAAGCACACTTACATCGTTTACTGCTCAGATCTTCGTACAAAATATCGGACATGAGCTTTCGTTCATCAATACTATACTGCTGTTGAAGCCTGTGTTGTTTCTTTGGTGTTTCACTGGCTGGGACATAAAAGACTGGCATGTTTCTTCTTTCGGGGATAGCAACAATTCATGAACAAATTATGTGTTGTCTATATATCTAAAATATACATACAAACGTTATTAAAACGACTGGGTTTATACATACAAACGTTATTAAAACGACTGGGTTTCTTTTTTCTAATTTGCGACTGCATGTGATAAACCAGGTTGGAATTTTAAACTGAATGCTGCGTATTTTTTAAACATGTAAGTTATCTTTATCGGACTTGATGTGGACAATAAGCGGCGGCACAAAATGAGGAACTATCCTCCTCCCTTTTCTCTCTAAAATTTCATTTATTCCAGAATTTTGTTTCATTGGCGTATATTCTGCTTGAACCTATTTCCAAATATAAAGGAATAAAAAAAATCATACGCAAAAACTACGTTTCTAAATATATTACTACATGAAAAAGGGTGTTGTTCTGCAATTTTTTTTATCAAGAAAGAAGGGCGTGTACTTCGTCCAAATGCCTACCTCTGATTTGTTTTTTGTCAAGTAAGAAAGAAGGACGTGTACACCCTCCAAATTCCATCCCCTGTGTAAATAAAAAAAAAACAGCAAGCATTACAGTAACCACTACAGCAAATTCGTTAAGAGGTTTTCAAAAGTAATTGGAAACGATGCAAAATAATAAATAAAAGAAAAGTAAAAAAAAACTTTAATATACAAGATATATTGATAAATTTACGCTTACGTTGAAAGGTTTCTCTATTCCGTCCAGTACACTGACAAGTTGTTGGGTGTAATAATCTTCAGTTTTATTGTATTTAGTAACAATACTATTGAGAGTTATGGTTGCTGTGGCTTTCATTGGATCACACTAAATATTTTATTAATCTCTCAGTCACTGATGGAACCTTATAAAATATTCATGAAAGATAAGGAACTTATATTCTGGTCATATAGCAATAGTACAAGCTTCAGAAGTCTCTGGATGTCACGATTTAATTATATTTACAACAATGTTATTGCAGTGTGATTATTTTACACGTGTACTACTTGTTTATGCTTGCATTAAGGCCATTTAAAAAATTAATTAATGCTTTTAGTTCGTATAAACGATATTAATCTGTGATCTGATTAACATTCAGGTCAACCTTGACTTGTTTACTCGACAAGCTAAACGAAATATCGGCTTCTAGAATTTTCAAAGCATAGTAACTATTTGCTAAATTCCACCATTGCTTAAAAATGTAATATTGAATTAAATTTGTCTAGTGAACATAAGGTTACTCTCAGTATCGAACTTTGAATCGATGGCTGAAACACTGGGTATAATTAAATCATCGACCGTGCAAACACTTTTAAAACGGTATCGTTCAAGAGGTGTTGTGGAAAACACTCCCTGAAATGGTTGACCCGTTAGTTAAACCAGACGTTCTGACCTGCAGCTTCTCAACTTTGTTACAGCTAATGGATGCAAAAATTTTCAAGACATTACAAACACATATAATGAAAGGGCACATATATACAAGTGACCAGAAGAACAGATTTTATTATTTTATGGATACAAAAATTAAGTGTGGTAAAGAAGGAAATTATCATTTCAAATACAATTTTTAAGAGACGTGCATGGTGTAGTTCTAAGCTTCATTTAGTTGTAAATTGTTACACTGGAATCGGGTGATTTTTTCTGATGAGACTCAAATTGTAATTGGTACATGTAGCAAAATACATATTTGTCGAAAATACTGTGAAAAATGGTCTTTGGTCCAGGCATAATAGAAATTCAGTCTGGAAATTCCTAAAAAGTTCGTTTACGAAGGAGAGCAACTACGATAAAAAATAACTTAGACATTACCTCATCATGATACACGTGCACTGAAATGTAGGCCCCCATCAATTCAACTCTCATGAGATCTTTGCATGCATCTCTTCCAACCCGAGTACGCCAAGTTTTAAGATTCAATGGTTCAAAAAAACAAGTATATTGATATACTGGGTAGGAACCAGAGGGAGGGAGTTTTTGCCAACCCCACTTTTTTGGCAATTTTAATAAAAAGTAAAAACGAAAGAAGACACTGACTTACTTCTACACTCAGGCTATAGAATAACTTTGTTATTTCGGCTTGTCACATAGAAGTCCCCCCCACCCGCCCCTTTTCTTTCAGTTTCCTCATTTGCCTTAAGTTTTTGAATTAAGTAACTTTTTTACTTGCAGTCAGTGTTTCAGTTGTCTATACTGTATGAATGATATGCCTTATTATAATAGCGACCTTTGTGAGGAAACAATTTTGACCGTTGACCGGCTGCTCTAGCATAATAAATGTGACCCCTGTTCCAGAGACCGCAATAGCATATGTCTTCTTCCCAAATTTCTCTGACATTAAAAAAATCAAAGCCCTAGCAGTCCGAGCACTCGCTCAAGTTACTTCACTCTGGGGATATAGACGATGGTCTAGGTATCTCAGTGGGGTGTCACGCTTCTTTAAAATTGACGCTTATTCTGTGTATTTTTTTCTGTAATCAGACAATGATTTGTATAGTGAGATCTCAGCATACAAATCCTTGATTTAGATGACTTCTTTATCATCTGACTATGCATTAAAATTGAGAATGGAAATGGGGAATGTGTCAAAGAGACAACAACCCGACTATAGAACAGACAACAGCAGAAGGTCACCAACAGGTCTTCAATGCAGAGAGAAATTCCCGCACCCGGAGGCGTCCTTCAGCTGGCCCCTAAACAAATATATATACTAGTTCAGTGATAATGAACGCCATACTAAACTCCAAATAGTACACAAGAAACTAAAATTAAAAATAATACAAGACTGACAAAGGCTAGAGGCTCCTGACTTGGGACAGGCGCCGAAAAATGCGGCGGGGTTAAACATGTTTATGAGATCTCAACCCTCCCCCTATACCTCTAGCCAATGTAGAAAAAGTAAACGCATAACAATACGCACATTAAAATTCAGTTCAAGAGAAGTTCATTTCTAGTATCTTTTTTGTATTACTGCCCTATTTTTTTATTTCAACAGTTATTATTTATACTTTTGCACCCCATTTTTCTTAATTCTTTTTTTCACATTTTTCTCTATTCCATATTTTTTGCCATTACTTTTTATTCTTTAAACTATACCAGTGGGGGATCCAGGGGAGGGGGGAATCCGGGGGTTGTTTCCCCCTTTTTTTTGATGATCAATGCTTTTGAATGGGGACATATGGTTGGACACCCCCCCCCCCCTTTATCCTGGGTTGGAACCCCTCCTTTTAAAAGTGGCTGGATCCGCCTCTGTATACGTCCTTGTTTAAATCCCACCCATGCAGATCCTAATATCGCTAGATTATAAATCCGTAAACTGTCACTAGTCTTTCTCCGATATCACCCGGAATTATTTTAAAGGCCAAATTACGCGGGAAAACAAATCCAAAATGAAAGTAGAACAAAACAGTTGAAAGGCACTGATAATGTACTACAACCTGTTTGTTGTAGCGTAATATGGTATATTGAGAACCTCATTTTATAATGCTTCGAGGGTATACTATATATATTTAACTTAAGATAATTTTTCCTTCAAAATTTTGACACTAATTCGAAATTTGTAAAGATAAATAGAACCTCTGCAGAACAGAAGCTCTTACAGTCAGGATTCTACTTCGTCAAAATTATCTCCCCATTACGGCAGCTGATTTTTACAATCGTATAAATGGAAGCCATTGTAGGGATGACGCGATGCCAATTTAGCTCTTGAAAACCGATAAATTTATCCACATAGCACCATTACGATCCTTATATGCCAGTTGTTTTTTTTCAGAGGTTGAAGAATTATTTAAATGCACAAAAAGGTGCAAGCCAGGGCTGACCGTGCGAGGGCTTTATAGCTTTATAGCCAGTCAAGGTCGTTAAAAACCCCCATAAGCAAAAAATGAAGTTTTTTTTTTAAGTTATGCATTTTTAAGATCCACTTGTAAAGTCTGTCGTCAAGTATTTTTAGTAAAAAAAAAATTTTTTCCCAACTTCAGATACTTCATTTCACTAATAGTTGTTAACAAAGCCCCTTAATGTTACAACAATGGCACTAAGGTTCTTCCCTGTATTGTTAATTACCAATAAAACCAGGGGATTTCATTGGCAAACTTTTTATAAATCTACATAGCATTACGTGTTAGTTACAATTTACAGATTAATTCTACAAGCATGTATACAATGAAAAAGAAAACGTAACTTTGATCGTCTTTTGTTTAGCTTTTAGTCTCAGATTTTAAAAGTGAAAGTAAAAGAGCATGGTTTCTGATTTATCGGATCAAGAGATCAGTATATTTGAATTACGATTGTTTTTTAGATAGTATCTTATCATTCAAATACACCAATACCATATCTGGTATTTAAACAAAAATTAAAGGAGCAGTTTTTGTTTAGAAATTTTTCTTCTTTTTATTTCAATGATATTTTTGTGATTCTAGGTCATCCAAATGCAAACAAAACAGATAGAGAATCAAATTTCTAAGATTTTCGTTATGAATTTTCTCAAAAAGGAATTTTTTGGATGATATAAAATTTGTGTTTCAATTTCATTTTTTAGGACTGACATCATATTCACATATTTTTAGTAAAAATTTGTAATTCGAACAAACCTACTCTGCTGTTATGACTCATTAGAAAGGTATTTCACTTGACCCATATATTTCATTTTTTTGTACTGTGAGATTTTAATGTTATTAAATCAACCTGTAGCCTAAAAATATAAAAATAATAGAATCTGAAGCGAGATGATGTATCAAATATTTTTGCTTTATACGTTTTCAAGACAGAATAGACAACTCAAACACGCCCGAACATAAGAAGGTGCACTCGACTTTCTCTTTTCGATGAAATTATTGCTCATTTTTAAGATTTTTTCCCAAAACGCTGTCGCCGGGGGCAGAGATGCAAATTAATGCTTTAAAAAAGATCAAACTATTATTTTTCTGTGGAATTTTTTTCGGCGGAATTTATGCTTATGCACAAAAAAGATCCACTTATATTTGCACCTACCACAATCGACTGTTTTATGAAAATTTGTCTTTAATTTAAAAGTTTACAAATATCTCGAAGCTCCATACTATAATCAGTCAGGGGGTACTACTTAAACAAGTGATTTCATTATCACCTATTTCAGTGATTTGATAAATTCAGTAATCACCTATTTAAGTGATTTTGGTGTTTCCTTTGATCTTCAAATGCTAATTTCATTGATTTTCCATATTTTGACAAACTTCTCTATAATTTTCCTACTTAGATCAATTATCCCTGTTTCTTTGTATATGAATTTCACCAGTGCGCTTGGGCAGTAAGTTAGTGCGCTAAAGCTTTTAAAAGTACCCTTGGGAATTTTTCTGTAATCAAATATTCATTAACTACTCTTACTATTAGAAAAGGTCAACAATATTAGGTAACCTAGTTGGTTTTCTTTAGAGTTAGAATGATCTACTTCAAGGTTATGTCCTGATCTACAAATTATTCCAGTTTTTGCATATTTTAAATAAGCTGTTAAAACTGACAGGCTTATTAAGCAAAAGACAATTTCTGCATGTACATAGTTGTTTTTTCAATGGAATTCTTTGTCTTTTTACCAATAAAAAAATCAACCTTGTGGGAAAAATATCAAGAAAATGTTATAAACACTTATTAAGTGATTACATTTTAACTTATCAAATTACTTGTTTCAATGATTTTAAAAATTCTGTGTCTATTTTTGTGAAAATTTTTAATATTTCACAGCCAAAATCACTTGAAAAAGTGATTCTAAAATCACTTGTTTAAGTAGTACCCCTGACTGATAATTCAAGTAAAAATATGTATATAAAATGCATAAAATCCTACGTTATGAACCTTTATTAAACTTTTAAAGCCCATAGAAACAGATGTAAACAATTCGAATATACCAATTTGGCTTTTTTACCTTCTCTAACAAAGAGTTCCATTTCTTTTGTTTAATTTGAACTGGGTATCCGCCTTCTTATGAGTGGGTGATGCAGGATTGGCCTATTTTTGTAAGCGTGACATGTACATGTGAAAAGTCAAATTATTTTGCGTGAAAACAGGATTCTGACAAAACAATAAGCAGGATCGGGGATCAGACTCCCCTAATGAGACCCCCTTATGATATTTTTTTTACAATTTGCGCACCATAGAGCTACGGTTTATTCCTATGTTAAAACGTTCGGAATTGCAACCCAGATTCAGGTCACACTTATTTCCAAAAGCGTCATTGTTTATCGCCCATGGGAAACTAGTCACTATATTTATAAAGAAATGAATTGAATGTGTTATATTGCATTGTTTTGTGAAGAAAAGAAGAAACACAATAGTCTAGCTGTTCATACATTGTACCAATAAATCTTAAAACTTTTATTCCACCATTTTACAGTGTTCACAACATCCTGTAACTTTGAATGAATTAAACATCTGCATTGTAAGCAATCACAAGGTGAACGTTAATTAACCAGTCAAAATCTGCCATTACTGTGACCTCAGGTTTGAAGCTTTTGCAGTTGTATATTGGTATGACTTTGGCGTTGTCGTCCTCGTCGTCGTCCGAAGACACTTTGGTTTTCGCACAATAACTTTAGTTTAAGTGAATGGATCTCTATGAAATTTTACCATAAGGTTTAATACCACAAAAGGAAGGTGGGATTGATTTTGGGGGTTATGGTAAAAACAGTTTAGGAATTGGGGTCCAAAAATAAGCATTTTTGTAACTTCCAGACAATAACTTGTGTGTTAGTGTATGGATCTCTCAGACATTGTACCACAAGGTTCCATATCACAAAGGGAATGCTGGGATTGATTTTGGGGGTAATTGCCTCAAAATTTTAGGAATTAGAGGCCAAAAAAGGGAAAAAAAACAAGCGTTTTTCTAGTTTCATGACAATAACTTGTGTGTAAGTGTATGGATCTTTCTAAAATTGTACTACAAGGTTCCATATCACAAAGGGAAAGCTGGAATTGAGGTTGGGGTAATTGCCCAAAATGTTTAGGAATAAGGGGCCAAAAATAAGCATTTTTCTAGTTTCCAGACAATAACTTGTGTTCAAGTGTATGGATCTATCTGAAATTGTACTGCAAGGTTCCATACCTCAAAGGGAATGCTGGGATTGATTTTGGGGGTAATTGCCTCAAAATTTTAGGAATTAAGGGCCAAAAAGGGGAAAAAAACAAGCATTTTTCTAGTTTCAGTACAATAACTTGTGTGTAAGTGTATGGTCTTTATGAAATTGTACTACAAGGTTCCATATCACACAGGGAAAGTTGGGTTTGAATTTTAGCCTAGTCAATTTAGCTCTAAAATCGCTCAACCTGCAACTAATTGCAAAACAAGGTTTTTTTAGTGCAAATTATAATATAGACTTGTACTAACAACATACTGAAACTATACATTGATGTAATTTGCGGAAAAGGTTATTTTGGGGTAAAATATGTGGTTTTTAGAGAAAAAATGCTGAAAACTGGAAAAGAAGAAAAATTGTTATTTATGGTTACATTTTTAGACCTAAAGCTTGTTGAAGACAGGAAACCTTATCTTAATAGAGTATTATGTAGTCCTCTAGTTATTATTAATCATATTGAAGTAATTTTGAGGTGAAATGAGTGATTTTTAGTGAAAAAACGCTGAAAACTGGAAACGTAGAAAATCTCTGTTGTTAATGGTTAATATTTTTTAAATTTGATCTATATAGAAAAAAGAACATACTATTTTATGTTTTATTTGTGAAGTACTTTAGTTATCAATATTAATATTTGGGTAATTTTGGTTGAATATATGTTTTAAGACCGAAAACCCGGAAAACTGGAAATGAAAATATCTCGGTTATTGATGGTTAAAACTTTCAAATTGGGATCTTAACAGAAAATAGAGAATACTATCTTAAGAAGTCCTATAGATATTAGTATTTGAAAAATTGTAATTTTTGTGTAAAATGTGATTTGAAAAGAAAAATTGTGAAAAATGGAAATAAAAAACTCGATTATTCATTGTTAAAACTTTTAACATAGGATCTTTATAGACAGACTATATTATCTTATGTTTATCGCATATGTATTCGTCTTGTTATCGATATCAATAATTATCAATTTGTTATGTGAAATATTTTGTTTTACACACTAACTACAAAACAAGAATATATCCATAGTACACGGATGCCCCACCCGCACTATCATTTTCTATGTTCAGTGGACTGTGAAATTGGGTCAAAACTCTAATTTGGCATTAAAATTAGAAAGATCTTATCATAGGGAACATTTGTACTAAGTTTCAATATGATTGGACTTCAACTTCATAAAAAAATACCTTGACCAAAAACTTTAACAAAAAACTTTAATCTGAAGCAGGACAGACGGACGAACGAACAGACGCATAGACAGAAAAACATAATGCCCCTAAGTGAGGGGCATATAAAATGAAAATTTTAAAATCTTGGTTATTTCTAGTTTGATTTTTAAAAACGAAAAAATGGAGAATGGAAACAGGGAATGTGTCAAAGAGAAAACAAGGCCA